CCCTTAGGTTAGAGGCCATCGTCCTCAGGTTAGAGGCCATCGCCCTTTGGTTAGAGGCCACCCAGACTTCCCACTCACTGGTTTCACCGACTGGAGACTGGAGGAAGCACGTGAAACTTGCTAATTGCGACTTGCTTATTCTTGTCCGTTCTCAAGGCCGAACGAAGTTGGTATTGGATGACGAAACCAAGATCCACAGCGTCTCACAAGAGCTCACTATGAAACTGACTATTCCGGGTTCTTAATCAAAACTAGCTAATTAAGTCTTTTTGACACTCTTGGAACCTGGGAGATGACTCATTGAGAAGCAGACCGTTGGAGCCCGAAGGAACCCGAAGACCCGACATCTCACTCGGTCGCCTTCGGGCGGATCGCAGGACGTCACGGATGAGACCTGTCGACCCGGCGCGGACTGGCGCAAAGCACCCAAAGGGCCTCCAACCTAATAGCATTCTTGTTCCTAGTAGCGATGCCCTTGTTTCTAATAGCTTCTTGTTACTACTAGTGAGGCACTTGTTACTAGAAGCGATGCACTTGTTCCTAGTAGCATTCTTGTTCCTAATAGCAAACATTGCTCCTAGTAGTAAGGCCAGGAGCTACCAGTAGCGATGCCCTTGTTACTAATAGCGATGGCCTCCAGCCTAATAGCGGTGGTGACGGCGGTTGCACTAAACAACTTCCAACACCTCAAATCAAGTGTCTCAATGTGCCTCACACTTTTGCTCGAGAACGGAGCATAGAACGCCTCAGTGCCCTCGAAGCAACTCTAAAATGTTTTCAAAGACTTCGTGCACAAACGGCGCTGCCCTTTCGCCCTGCTTTCGCCCTTTCGCAATCTTCTGTGCCTCGTAGGAGGGTTCGGTTGCAGCACCCTCCTCGTGGTGTAAGTAGTTAAACTTATTCTCAAAGTCCTGAGACGCGGGCGACGGGCGCGCCACGCACATCCCACGAGCGCCAAAAGCGCCACGGCAGCTTCCTCCCCATGGGTCGAGCATTGACACCAAATCCTTGGATCCTTGACATACATCATCACACCGAATGAACCCTCTGTTGGATTCTTTTTAACCCCATACCCATGTGGAAACAACCCAAACCCCAAACTCGTCGCAAAAATGAATCTCTCACAACGAGTCCAACCAAGTCTCCGTCGGCACGTGCTCTGCGAAAATGGCGAGGTTCGTCTCCGCGGCGCCTTGGATCTTGAAGAGACTCACCTCAGAGGCCATCGCTAGTGGGTTGGAGGCCATCGCCCTTAGGTTGGAGGCCATCACTATTGGGTTGGAGGCCATCGCTCTTTGGTTGGAGGCCATTGCTATTAGGTTGGAGGCCATCGCCATTAGGCTGGAGGCCATCGCTCTTAGGCTGGAGGCCATCGCTAGTAGTAGGTTGGAGGCCATCGCCCTTAGCTTGGAGGCCATCTTTGGTTGGAGGCCATCGCTATTAGGTTGGAGGCCATCGCTCCCATCGCTCTTAGGTTGGAGGCCATCGCTATTAGGTCGGAAGCCATCGCTCTTAGGTTGGAGGCCATCGCTCTTAGGTTGGTGGCCATCGCTCTTAGGTTGGTGGCCATCGGAAGTAGGTAGACTCCTGATGAGGTCATCCACGGTCGGTTGATTGATTTTCGCATTGGGCAGTTGCAGCTATTGATGTGTCAAAGCAGCGAAGCCTCCAGGCATGCAGTCCATAGGCGATCTCAAGAGTTGAAACAGTCTGACCCAACTGAGCAACAAATTGGTCTTCCGCAAATGATATCCAATCTGTAACCGACTCCTACTTCTAATGAAACCTCTTCTTCATGGCAGGTTTCCACAAACACTACCTGGCCCGACGTCGTCCAGGTCGCCCAGTTGTCGGCGTCATAGACCAAGCGATACGCGTTGTTCGGGCCTCAAACGGTCATTTCCAAAAGCAGATGTGCTTGATGTTACGAGGACCACTGACCATCAACGACCCATGAAATGACTCAAATTGTTTGATCCCTAGATACGCTAGTATACCGCTATGTCACGATGTTCTATAATTCGGCCGAGCCTGAGTCCGGCTCTGACCCGGTGGCTGTTCCTCACGTGAACGACGTGTTCGGTCCGAGGTCCCGGGCTCAGGGTGTCGCCCGGCATGACGTCGGTGAAGGTCCCCGACCAGGCGGTGAGCGCCGCCTGAGCAGACGCACGACCACCGACAAAGTCCTGCTACCACGCTTTCCGGATCCGATCAAAGCCAATCTGGGAGAGGCGCGAAAGTTGCACAAATTCCGAACGACCGAAAATCCACTTCTGTGGAACGGCTGAACTGTTTGTCCCACTCCTCCCAAACCGATCCCTCGGCACCGGCTCGGCGCTCTCGATGGCGCTGGCGTCGTAGGTTGACGTGGTGCGCAAGATGATCTTCGTGGACGCCTGGCTGAAGGGATCGAAAACACAAAACATGTCTTTTTTGCCCGCTCTAGGTTGGAGGCCATCGCTAGTACTACATAAGGGGAAAGCCGGGGAAAGCTCCTAGCTATCAATTACATCTTTTTTGCGTTGTATTCCTTGGATTTTTGCCTTTTTAGACCTCCTGCGAACTAGGCCAAGTCTATAAGGAAAACCAAGGGCACCTGGATCCGATGAGTTCCATGTGTCTAGGGTGGAAACGGATTCGGCACATGGTTTGCCGAAGGGCCATGAACCGCACGGGACCAACATGAAGACTCCTAGTAGCGTCCCTGCTCCTAGAAGCGATGCCCTTTGCTACTAGTAGCGTTCTTGGTCCTAGTAGGAAGGCCAGGAGCCCCTAGTTGCGTCCTATGCTCAGAGTGGATCCTTCCAAAACCGCATTTTGCAGGTGAGCTGACTGTATTTCCCTTCCAACTGGGCAGTTGGGCCGCGGCATAGGCGCCGTCCTTCTTCTCAGCCTCGGCGCAACGAGCCACCGGAAGACGAGCAACCGTTACACATCTCTAGCCTAGTAACAAGAAGCCTTACTACTAGGAGCAAGGACGCTACTAGGGGCTTCTGGCCGTACTACTAGGAGCAAGAACGCCATTAGGGGCTTCTGGCCGTACTACTAGGAGCAAGAACGCCATCAGGGGCTCCTGGCCTTGCTACTAGGAGCAAGGACGCTACTAGGGGCTTCTGGCCGTACTACTAGGAGCAAGAACGCCATTAGGGGCTTCTGGCCGTACTACTAGGAGCAAGAACGCCATTAGGGGCTTCTGGCCGTACTACTAGGAGCAAGGACGCTACTAGGGGCTTCTGGCCGT